CAATGCTTCCTCTTCATCTTGGAAAGAAGTGACAAGTGGAGTGCCGCAGGGTTCCGTCCTGGGCCCGGTCCTGTTCAACATCTTTATTAATGACTGAGATGAAGGGCTAGAAGGCAGGATCATCAAGTTTGCAGACGACACCAAATTGGGAGGGATAGCCAATAGTCCAGAGGACAGGAGCAGAATTCAAAACGATCTTGACAGATTAGAGAGATGGGCCAAAACTAACAAAATGAAGTTCAACAGTGACAAATGCAAGATACTCCACTTTGGCAGAAAAAATGAAATGCAAAGATACAGAATGGGGGACGCCTGGCTCGAGAGCAGTACGTGTGAAAAAGATCTTGGAGTCCTCGTGGACAACAAGTTAAACATGAGCCAACAATGTGATGTGGCGGCAAAAAAAGCCAATGGGATTTTGGCCTGCATCAATAGGAGCATAGTGTCTAGATCTAAGGAAGTAATGCTACTCCTCTATTCTGCTTTGGTTAGACCACATCTGGAATATTGTGTCCAATTCTGGGCACCACAATTCAAGAGAGATATTGACAAGCTGGAATGTGTCCAGAGGAGGGCGACTAAAATGATCAAGGGTCTGGAGAACAAGCCCTATGAGGAGCGGTTTAAGGAGCTGGGCATGTTTAGCCTGAAGAAGAGAAGGCTGAGAGGAGATATGATAGCCATGTATAAATATGTGAGAGGAAGCCACAGGGAGGAGGGAGCAAGCTTGTTTTCTGCTTCCTTTGAGACTAGGACGCGGAACAATGGCTTCAAACTACAAGAGAGGAGATTCCATCTGAACATGAGGAAGAACTTCCTGACTGTGAGAGCCGTTCAGCAGTGGAACTCTCTGCCCTGGAGTGTGGTGAGGCTCCTTCTTTGGAAGCTTTTAAACAGAGGCTGGATGGCCATCTGTCAGGGGTGATTTGAATGCAATATTCCTGCTTCTTGGCAGAATGGGGTTGGACTGGATGGCCCATGAGGTCTCTTCCAACTCTTGATTCTATGATTCTATGAGTGCCTTTGGAGACTTCTCAGAACTTGGAACTATGGCCTGTTTGTGGAGGTGGGAAGCTGTCTGTGTAAGTGGACACCTCAACCACATACATATTTTTCATTTTTATTATGTGTATAGATGTTCTGTTTCCACGGAGCCTAGTTGCAGTCCTAACAGCAGGAGTGTGATAGGATAGAGTTTCCAACCAACAACCAAATGTGGTGAGGTGCCACTCTTGCAAAGAATAATATTTTGGAATGGTTTGATCTTGAATAAACAATTAAGAGCTATTAGCTTAACAAAAAGCTTTCTAAAACAAAATGCCTAATCTTTGTAGCAGTAATCTCCAAGTTACATGAATGGGAAACAAGGAAGTTTGGAAAAGTTTTGTTGTGGGCAGGGATACATTTTTGAAGTTGACTGTATGTTCCAGGGGAGGGAGAGCAGTTGCTCCAGAAGGAATTTTCTGAGCTCTGGAGATTTTTACATGAATGCAATATGCATGTAGGAACAAGTGAAGAAATTAATTCATTTCAATTACAAATGAAACAAAGCTTGAGTGGGATCTCGGGATGATTTGCTGTAGATCATCAAAGCCTTCTGACTCTTAATTATTTAACAACATCAGTAGCTAGAAGCAGGTGCCCTTTCCCCCTTTCTGTGTTATATCACATACAACGTTTTTCCCCATTCCACCACACGATTTGGGAGTGGTTAGTATTAGAAGGACCAAGAGTGAAATTTTGAGTAACTGCCCTGTAAGCTCTGACCTGGAACAGAGAAAAATTGGCTTACCTCACCGCAAGCTCAAAGCAATGTCGGGCCTTTGATGAACAACCATGAAGTAATAAGACCAGACACAAAAAATGGATGACCTAAGGAGAAGCAAGATGAATGGAAAAGCAAGTAAGTGGTCATCGGTTAGTACAGAAGTCATTCAACAAGTTGTCCAGATGAACAAAGCTGGCAAGTGCAATAGAACTGAAAGTGACAGCCAGTCCAAGGTCAGGGAACTACAAACATGGAAGATTACAGTTGATGATTCTGGAGTTTTTCAGGAGAGTCATTTCCACTTCCTTATTGCAAACAATGCATTAATATGTGGGCTGGACAATGCTACGGTTAGGCGTATTTGAAATTAGTTAACCTATCAGGTTCAGAACATATTTACCAATGGCTCTTTCTCATCCTGGAAAGAAGTACCACAAGGTTATATCTTGTGCCCAGTGCTAGACAACATCTTTATCAATGACTTGGATGAAGGTATAAATGTAATGCTTATCAAATGTGTAGATACAGATTTGTCTAATGGTCTGGAAACCACGAACTCTAATCTGTTAAGGTCATTTTGGATTTGGATCTTGCTCTCTTGGGTTATTAACTACCCCTCCCAATTTGGCCTCACCTACAAATTTGATCCAAAGTCTGGAAACCATGAACTCCAAATAGAATGACAAGGAGCTGGAGGAGAGAAATTTAAGAAGTGACATGTTATCCACATTTAAACATTTGAAAGGAAGTCCTGTTGAAGACCAAGCCAACTCATTTTCTGCTGCTCTAGAGGCTAGGACATGAAGCAATGGATTCATATTATAGAAAAAGCGATTCCACCTAAACACTGGGAAGATCTTCCTGATGGTATGAACTGTTAGACCAGCATTTCTCAACCTTGGGGTCAGGACCCCTGGGTGGGTTGCCAGGGGGTAACAGAGGAGTCACCAAAGACATCAGAAAACACAGTATTTTCTGTTGGTCATGGCGGTTCTGTGTGAGAAATTTGGCCCAATTCTATCGGTGGGGTTCAGAATGCTCTTTGGTTGTAGGTGAACTATAAATTCCAGCAACTACGTCTATTTTGTCAATGTCTATTTTTCCCAAACCCCACCAGTATTCACATTTGGGCATATTGAATATTTGTGCCAAGTTTGGTCCAGATCTATCATTATTTGTGTTCCCAGTGCTCTTTGAATGTAGGTGAAATGCAATTCCATCATTGGTGGAGTTCAGAATGCTCTTTGATTGTAGGCTAACTAAAAATCCCAGCCACTATAACTCCCAAATGACAAAGTCAATCCCCCCAACCCCACCAGTATTCAAATTTGGGTGTATTTGGTCCAGTGAATGAAAATTCATCCAGAATATCAGATATTTCATAGAATCATAGAATCAAAGAGTTGGAAGAGACCTCATGGGCCATCCAGTCCAACCCCATTCTGCCAAGAAGCAGGAATATTGCATTCAAATCACCCCTGACAGATGGCCATCCAGCCTCTGTTTAAAAGCTTCCAAAGAGGAGCCTCCACCACACTCCATGGCAGAGAGTTCCACTGCTGAACGGCTCTCACAGTCAGGAAGTTCTTCACTCATGTTCAGATGGAATCTCCTCTCTTGTAGTTTGAAGCCATTGTTCCGCGTCCTAGTCTCCAGGGAAGCAGAAAACAAGCTTGCTCCCTCCTCCCTGTGGCTTCCTCTCACATATTTATACATGGCTATCATATCTCCTCTCAGCCTTCTCTTCTTCAGGCTAAACATGCCCAGCTCCTTAAGCCGCTCCTCATAGGGCTTGTTCTCCAGACCCTTGATCATTTTAGTCGCCCTCCTCTGGACACATTCCAGCTTGTCAATATCTCTCTTGCATTGTGGTGCCCAGAATTGGACACAATATTCCAGGTGTGGTCTAACCAGAGCAGAATAGAGGGGTAGCATTACTTCCCTAGATCTAGACACTATGCTCCTATTAATGCAGGCCAAAATCCCATTGGCTTTTTTTGCCGCCACATCACATAAAATACAATTTACATTACAATTTGTAACAGTGGTGAAATTACAGTTATGAAGTAGCAACAAAAATAATTTTATGGTTGGGGATCACCACAACATGACAAACTGTATTAGGGGTCACAACAATAGGAAGGTTGAGAAACATTGTGTCAGAATGTGGTGGAATCTTTGGAGAGTCTGAGACTGAGGCTGGATGGCCATATATTGGAAGTGCTTTGTTTGCATATTCCTGCATGGCCAGTGGTTGGCCTGAATAGCTCTTGTGGTCTTGTCCAGTTTTATCATTCTACAATGATGACATATTGCCCTCCGTGTCCTTACATTAATTCCAGCTCAGGATAGTTGGAAGTTCTTCATTTTTCTTTCTCATAGGCAGCAATATATCTCTGAGAGATTTTCAAGGCTTTATGTAGGCCATGGCCAGGGAAATTATTGGGAAAACAAATATTATCGGGCTGGAATTGCCATCGCTTCTGCCCAGCAGGGTCTGTGGTCATATATAATTGGAAATGTAAATCTTAAAGGTTACAGACCCCGTGGCTTTGAATTAGAAAAATGACTGAAGTGAGTCACAGATGTGATGGAGTGATGGCTTATCAACTAAAGCTTTTCTCTCTGTCTGATTGATCCAGCAGTGACAGTTGCTCATTTAGCCCTCCCCAAGCTAGCATGTTTCAGATACATCACACTACATCTCCCATCTTCCTTGTCTCTGTCTAATGTGACCATTGACTGAACTGCTGGAGGTGAAAGGTTATTTAAATCCTTTCAGTATGTCTGGAGGATGTTCAATTTTGTCAAGTGTGTGTGTGTGTGCGTGTGTGCGCGCTTATCTGCTAGCAGAACATTCATGGGATATGAATGATGATGTAGCTTGCTGTAAATGATGAGTGTTGTAGACACATCTGGAGGGCACCAAGTTGGGAGAGAGTGGGATACAGGGTTGTTAACTTCAGTGCAACATTGCGTTAAAAATCAGACAGGACTGATGATGTTGACTGTTGAGAAGCAGATGTATTACGTTTCATGCTAAGCTTCTATATCATCTGCTTTCTTTAGCTGATGCATAACTATATTTATTGCAGAGATTATGGGTGATTTGCAAAAAGAAAAAGGGTGGCGGAAGCGTAAGCTTCTATTTCTAGAGCATCTGGGGACAACTGACATTTTATTATAATTTAGTTTCTTCTTTTCTTCTCTCTTCTTTTGTTTTTTTCTCTAGGATGAAAAGAACCAAATGATGACCACGAATGTGTGGGTGAAACAAGTGAGTCAACCTCAGTTCCTTCCCTTGTATTTATTTCCTACTTCTTTCTACTATTAAACTAGCCAATCAATCAAGGCATGGATTCTCTTTCCTCTATCAAGCAGGCAGATATTCTGTTTTTCTGTTTTATACTCATCTACGCACAGAGAGAGACACCAATCTAAAAGAACCTATATGTGTGTGTGTGTGTGTGTGATCTTCACATCCACTGGGTTTAGGGGCATAGGGCCCTCACAAAAGTTATATCTCGCAATGCACTCTGTGTGGGGCTGCCAATGAAGATGGTTTGGAAGCTGCAATTCGTGCAAAGATCTGCAGACAGACCACTGACTGGGGTGGATTGTAGGGAACATACTAACCCCTTTCTAAAGCAGCTTCATTGGTTGCTGGTCTGCTTCCGGGCCCAATTCAAAGTGAAAGTTATTACCTACAAAGTCCTATATGGTTTGGGTCCTACCTCTTTGCACGACTACATCTCCCCCTATGAACTTGTGCGGGCTTTAAGATCAGCTGGGGAGGCTCCACTGGCTGCCAGTTCAGTTCCAAGCACAATTCAAGGTGCTGGTTTTGACCTACAAAACCCTGTACGGTTCTGATCCAGTGTATCTGTCCGAACGTATCTCCCTCTACGTCCCACCCTGGAATTTGAGATCATCTGGGGGGGGGGGGCTGCTCTCGACCCCACCGCTATCACAAGTGAGGTTGGTGGGGACGAGGAGCAGGGCCTTCTCAGTGGTGGCCCCTCACCTGTGGAACTCACTCAGGGGAAATTAGGGCATCAACATCCCTCCTCTCCTTCAGGAGGAAGGTAAAGATGTGGTTGTGGGACCAGGCCTTTGGGCAATCTGACAACTAGATAAGGACAACCAGACGAATAGGACTGACAGGACTGACAATTGTGGAATGGGAAATTGAACTATGAGATAGCGAATGCTGACCGTCAATGAGGAGAAATTGGTTTGTATTGGTTTTATTGGTTTTAGTGGTTTTATGGCTATAATGCAAGAATTGTTGTTTAGTTGTTAATTGATGTTATGGTTTTATTGCTGTTATGTGATGCGGGCATCGAATTGTGCCTTGCTTTTGTAAGCTGCCCTGAGTACCCTTCGGGGTGAGAAGGGTGGGGTAGAAGCAACCAAAATTAAAAAAACGAGGGAGAGGGCCTTTTCCGTAGTTGTTCCCTGGCTCTAGTACACCCACCGCAGAGAGATTAGACAAGCTCCTACAATATTGGTTTTCAGGAAAGAGCTGAAAACATGGCTATGGAAACAGGCCTTTGATAATGGCTAAATGTCTACCATCAGAGGATGAAGGATATAAATGGGAATTTTTTAATGGGATCTACTAGGACAGTGGTTGGGATGTTTTAATGATGGCACTGCATAAGTATTATGCACTTTATTTTACTTATGGATGAGGTCTCTTGTGTTACATTATCATATTGCTTAATCTTTCATGTATTTTGTGTTTTATTGCTCATTATTTGATTTCTAATTTCTTATATGTGTATTATTATGTATTTTGTTAGTTTTATATTGTTGTGAGCCTCTCCAAGTTTCTCCGGGGAGAAGGAGCAGGATACAAATAAAGTTTTTTATTTATTTATTTATTACAAAATAAAAGGTGCACCCTTGTGCTGACAGGACTGGCTGACCAACAGGTTGGCGGTTTGAATCCTGGGAGCAGGGTAAGCTCCTATCTGGCGAGCTCTGGCTTCTCATGCAGAGACATGAGAGAAGCTTCCCACAGGATGGTAAAACATCAATCATCCGGGTGTTCCCTGGGCAACGTCCTTGCAGATGGCCAATTCTCTCACACCAGAAGCAACTCGCAGTTTCTCAAGTCACTTCTGACACAGAAAAAAATATTATAAAAGTGAAAATATGCAAATAAACCCCATGTTTTAACTGTAAAAAACATTTATTTAGCAGTATCTAGGTTCTCCACTTCATCTCTATAGTCGATGTCCACAACAGTGAAACCCATAAATGCAGAGGGCACACTCTATTCATTTGTTCATATGGGGAAAATGTATTTCAAAGAAGAAAAGAGACCAACATATATCATTCTTTGCCTGTCCTCCACAAAGAAAATTGTCATTCAGCAAAGACATCTGATGTTAAAGTCCCTTCCATAGGAATTGAGGCTTCTCATTTGCAAGTAGCTGTATATCTCCATTTGACCTTGTAAGACAGACATCACAATATCTAAAATTCTTCCTAGATGACTTGACGATACTTAGGAGGAAATCAAACATTTGAATTCAAGTAAAGGGACTGAGTCTGTAACAGTTCAGCAAATGGTAGATTTCCTTTGCCAAAACAGACAATGAAAATTCAATCTTTTTCCTCTTCACCTGCTCCCCATACCTATACACCTTAGTCTTGGACTGCTGCATGTTTCTAGGAAAGGAAGGGAGGGGATTCATCCCTGGAGAAGACAAAACCTCTAATAAGAGGGAGCAAGAAAACTTCCTGTTTGCTTGAAATCTAATAGAGCTGGTAAAATGGACTTGCAGCAAAGGTTGCTTGTTTTACGTGCCTCCCTGACCCGCAAGGGGAGACCTTGGAAGGAACATGCTACAGATAATGAGGAAAGGGAAACAAAAACAGAAGAAACCAAGACCTTATTAGAATCTGTGCAGATTCAAAGTCTGCAATCATTGGAGATGCCTTACTAACCCTCCCCAAGTCCCAATCTGCCCTGTATACATATACAAATTTACCAAGCATGCAATAGTTATAGCAAAGTCTCTCCCCTCTTCTCTGTTTTCTTGTTCCATTTGCCACTGATTTTCAGTGTAAGAAAAACAAGTTAATAATGGGTCCCAACCCACTTACATGCCCCCAGTTTGGCTCTCTCATAATCTCTAATGACCTGGATGTACTATCCAGAACATTAGTTTCTCTAACTATACAAAAAGTTCATTTACACTTCCACATATATACCTATGGAAGAAAATCATATAACATGAAAATAGACAAAGGAGAGTCAGGGGCTTGAGAAAGGAAAGCTATCATTGCTTGGGCCCTATTTAGAGTGTATCATTGTCCTTGATCAGATGTGGGAATTGTGAGGCATGCAGACTACATTCTTTGACCTACCCATAAGCTTCCAACACACCAAACATCAGCTACTTTATCCCATTGCTTCTTCCCATAATCTAAATTAACTCCCTAAGCTATTTATAAAAACTGGACCATTAATTAATTGATTTTAATTGTTGTTTGTTTAAGAGTCTGCCTCCCTTGCTACTGAACTTTGTTTCTTTATTGATGATCTCAATGAGGTCTTATATCCAGTGCCTGTAGCAACCTGTTGGCTAGCTAGCAGCATTCTGAAATGCAACTATTGGCTGCATTCTAGTGGGTTTTTTATCATATCAGAAGAGAATTGAGAGTATACTGCAATTCAATTATAGTGTGAGAGAATTGGCTGTCTGCAAGGACATTGCCCAGGGGATGTTCAGATGTATTACCATCCTGTGGAAGGCTTATCTCATGTCCCTTCATGGAAAGCTGGGGCTGACAGATGGGAGTTCACCCAGTCTCGCCAATTTGAATCGCTGACAAGGGTTTAACCCATTCCACCACCTCAGCTCCTGGTTTCTAGTGGGGTGGTTTTACAGAACAAATAAAACCTAGAAGTTGTTTAGAGTTGGACCCCTCTTAGCCTGATCCAGCAAAAGTTGAAAAAAAATCATTTTCGGTTATTCTATGGTTGCAAATAATTTTAGTCCAAACCAACCACAGAAGACTTGTTGTGACATGCAGGTCTGCAAATGAGAACATTATTTTGGTGAGCAGAGCATCACTTGGGATCTCTGGCCTCCAAACATTTCTTCTCTTCCCCAGCTGCTTGCCCTCCAGGCATCATATGAGTTCATAAAGCTCGCATTGCAAAGCCTATTGTAGCTGGGGGCAAGGGGAGAGGCTAGAGGGATTGGATACTATGGGAAAGAGCAATGATGGACAGAAGAAGCAGTGGCAGCTGGTGGCTTCAGGGTTTGTGGTCAATGAGTCCACTTTTAGTTTTGCCTGAAAATTCAAAGAGCTCTCCAGGGTACTGAATCTTCTTCCTCCAAATAGATCTAGCACTTTGAATAGTTCCTTTAGGCCCCTTCTACATGCCATATACAATCCAGATTATCTGCTTTGAACTGGTTTATATGGCAGTGGAGACTCATATAATCTGGATTATCTGCTTTGATAAATTGGGTTATATGGTAGTGTAGAAGGAGAGGATTAACTTGCCCACAGATATCGACTCCAACAGCAACCACTGGCAGAGAGAGATGCCCTAAACTAAAGCATCAGAAATGAGGTATAGTTGCAGGTGTTTCTATGCTTCTTGTAGCAAATTGCTAATTGTAAATCCATTTCCTACAGATTAAATTGTTCCACTTCTTCGTCCTGTTATCTGTGTCGGATTTTTAGTTCCTTTCCTCCTAATTTATTCCTATTTATTTTTTGCAGGAGTGGCATGATTATAAACTACGCTGGGATCCTGAGGAATATGAAAACGTTACATCAATACGGATTCCCTCTGAGCTCATTTGGAGGCCAGACATTGTTCTTTACAACAAGTAAGATGGCATTTTGTGCATATGTTTGCCTCCAGTTTTCAAAGGGCTGGACATGTTGTGATTAAACATCTGAGAGTCATGTTGGACATTTGAGATGGATAGCTTTGTAACTGTATGAGATTTCAAAGGATTCCAACCCACTTCTTCACATGATGAAGTATGATCTTAGAAGATGAGGTCTCTTCTCATACACCATGTACACTGTTGGAAGTAAGAGTTGAAGTCAGAGGAAAAATGGATGTGGAAAATACAGGTCAATTCCTCTCTCTCATCTCATCCCATCCACAACTATTTCTCTCTGTCTGGATCCATATCGGAACTTTCTGTGGATCGATATATGAACTTCTAAAATCATTCATGATGATGGATTAGATTATAATCCACAAAATCTCATGATATAATAAACCTATTCATCTTGAAGGTGCTACATGACTCTTTGTTCTTTTGCTTTAAAAATGTTCCTGGAAACCCAAAGTGTTTGTTTTCTTTTTAAGAGTTTCTTTGGTTCTTCAGTGAGAACATCTGTAACCTCTAACAAACCTCCCTTGAAGGCAAATCATAATCTAAACTGCACTCATGTTCCCCTTCAGATACTGTCTTAGGTGTATTCTATCTGTATTTTATCAGTCAATCTATCTATCTGTCTATCTGTCTACCTATTTATTTATTTAGAGCATTTATATCCCATCCTTCTCACTTCTAAAGAGGGACTCAAGATGGCTTATGACAGGCAGCCATTAGATGCCAAAAAACACAGACAACTGTAAACTGCAATTCACAGTATCTATATTACAGGAAATTTTACATTAAACATAACGTAGGAACAGTAATTAAACTAATTAGTAATTATTTATATATGAAAGGATGCCTTTCAATATATTACAAGCACCAAGAGACTTGAGCTTCCAGGGTGACAATTTCTATATTCCAGGAGATTCTACATTAGTTCATGATGTCAGGAATAGTAACACAATTATTGTGAAATGAAAAGTTGCTTGTCGATACTTTTGGAATACAGTAAAATTTCAGCTTTCAAAATGACAGTTTTTATGTTGCAGGAGATTCTTCGTCAATACATAACAATAACACAACGCAACAAGGTCACCCAGGTTGATTCCCTTGTTTTCAAAACCATGTCAATTTGGGGACATAGTATATCTATTATCTGTATGTTGCTTTACTTCTTATTTAGTGTATTCAAGCATCATAGATAAGAATAACACTCGAAGAAGATATTACGGATCAAGGGAAACACATGGGAGACCATGTTGTGTGTTGTGTTATTGTTCATGGTGTTATGTATTGATGATAAATGTATTGATGAAGAATCTCCTGCAACATAAAAACTGTCATAAAAACTGAATTGTGCTCGGAAGCAAATAGACAGCCAGTGGAGCTCCCATAACAGGGGGGTTGTACACTCCCTGTACCCCACTCCCTTGAGCAACCTGGCTACTGATCGTTGGAGTAGCTGAAGCGTCCGAGCAGTCTTCAGAGGCAAACGCACGTAGAGTGTGTTGCAGTAATCTATTTGGGATGTAACAAGAGCTTGGACCACCATGGCCAAGTCGGACCTCATTTTACACAGAGATCATGAGATCTAATAGGATTGAAGTGTTCCTCAGCTGAAGTGAGTGTGTGCTTTTACATTTCAGGATGTTCTCCAGTGGAGTGAGCAACATGATTTTCTAGAGCTGCATGAATAACCAAAAATGCTAACAGACAAAGCAACTAAATGAGACACATAATGACTGGGGAAAAATGGATGTTATTTGTGGGTTTGTGTTGAACAGTACAGATAGAGGAGTGGACCTCAAACTAATTAAATGTGAATTGCTCCTAAATGCTTCCAAGAGGAGAAATTCACTCCTTTCCCCACCAGTGACTGAAGGGCTGAGGGCCACAAAAACAGTGTGGAGGAAAACAATGAAACCCAGGCCTATATGTGGCCTACCTCTGTTCCACAACATTCAGTTTCCATGGACACATTTTCAGGAACATCTTTGTAGAAGGGCTGATGTGGAAAGCAAGACTTCATGTTGAAATGGTTGATCATCTCTTCTTTAAAAGCTTCTTTTTTAATTTTCTTCAGGAATGGCCCTAAAATTAAGCTAAATGAGACCACTGCTGTCACACTGAGGATTAATAGGTAGAGCTGCCAGCAACAATTCTTTCCCAGTACCTGCTTTTGAAGGACAGAACTACTATTCTTATTCCTTTGGATATTCTGCTGCCTTAAGGGGAAATAGTGGGTACTTTCCAATAAATTAGGATCCGGTTACTATTCCATTTTATGGATTATTGAGTGAAGAGAATCTTGTATTTTGTTATTTGGAAAGAAAATGACTTATGTTGCTCCCAGGGTTGCAACCTAAGTCATAAGAAGACTGAGCTCTTGTAACTATAAGCACAAACAGACTATGGGAAACAGGATATGGTACTATAAAACTCCAAAAAACCAGACAAATGTACCTGTCATCCCTTATCTTTCAACTTTACATTGCAGCCATAGTTGTTTCCTCCCAACAACCTCTTGTCTCACCAGTTAATAGTGGGAAAAGAGAAAGGTGTTGTTAACAAGTCCAGAACCTTGTACTTCCCTGTTCTCCTGGGAACCGTAACTGTACCTACTTCCTAATTTAGTGTCTAGAGATTGTTAATTAGGTCAGGTACAAATTGTGTTTGGTCTACCATCTTTGGATGGTTTGGAGAACTTTATGTACACCGGTAGCCAACTCCACTGGCTACCAATTCATTTCCAGTCTGATCATGGCCTACAGTGGCCAGTATATCGCTTAGGTCCAGTCTCCTTGATTAACCATATCTCCCAATATAAATGTGCTTGAGTTTTCAGATCCTCAAGGGGAGTCTTTCTCTTGGTCCCACCACCATCGCAGGTAGAAAGGTTTTGCAGTGGCTGCTTCATTCTTGTAGATTTCTCTTTCATGGGAGGCTAGGCAGACTCTTTCCTCGCTCTTCTTTCCTCAGCAAGCAAAGAACTTCTTGTATTGTCAAAGGCTTTCATGGCCAGAATCATTGGGTTGTTGTAGGGTTTTTCGGGCTATATGGCCATGGTCTAGAGGCATTCTCTCCTGAAGTTTCACCTGCATCTATGGCAAGCATCCTCAGAGGTAGTGAGGTCTGTTGGAACTAGGAAAAAGGGTTTATATATCTGTGGAATCACCAGGGTGGGACAAAGGACTCTTGTCTGCTGGAGGTAGGTGTGAATGTCTCAACTGACCACCTTGATTAGCATATAATGGCCTGACAGTGCCTGGAGCAAACTTTTGTTGAGAGGTGATTAGATGTCCTTGTTTGTTTCCCCTCTGTTGTTGTGCTGTTGTAATTTTAGAGTTTTTTTTAATACTGGTAGCCAGATTTTGTTCATTTTCATGGTTTCCTCTTTTCTATTGAAATTGTCCACATGCTTGTGGATTTCAATGGCTTCTCTGTGATGTCTGACATGGTGGTTGTGAGAGTGGTCCAGTGGTCCAGACCTTCTTGCTTAAGCAGGCTTTGTGTGTAAAACTCTTAAGTTTTTAGCCAAATTTGTTGTAATTTTTTTGTAAATTATCTTGGGTTCTTCACCGGGAAAAAGGCAGCATTTTTTTTAAAAAAATGCAGTAAATAAATACATAATTAGCCAGCTTGGGGAAGAACTCACAAATCTAGATGGACAAAGGCTCGGTGAAGAGCTTTGGGCAAATGCCATATTTAGGAGGCAGAGCCAGGAAGACTGATCCTCCTTCTTCCATCCCTTTGTTCACCTCTTTCTAAATCATGAGAAAGAAGACTAGCATCGTATTATGTTAATATGGACTGGCTCACTTCTCTACATTCTCCAGTATGCCCTTTTCTTTTTGTTGTTTCTAAAAACAAGAAAAAAAGTTGTCCAGCCACCCAGGGAAAAAACAAGCCAGCAAAAGAAATCATCCTCTTCCCATCCATATATTCATCTCTTTGTATGCCATAAGAATAGGGTTCTTTTTGAAACTCACCAGAAGTAAAGCCTGGTATACTGCCACAACGGCCATAAAGGCAAAGGTAAAGGTTTCCCCTTGACATTAAGTCTAGTCATGTCCAACTCTGGGGGTGGTACTCATCTCCATGTCTAAGCTGAAGAGCCAGCATTGTCCATAGACACCTCCAAGGTCATGTGGCCAGCATGACTGCATGGCGTGCCCTTACCTTCCCACAGAAGCGGTACCTGTTGATCTACTCACATTCACGTTTTCAAACTGCTAGGTTGGCAGAAGCTAGGGCTAACAGAGGGAGCTCACCCCACTCCCCGGATTCGAACCACTGACCTTTTGGTCAGCAATTTCAGCAGATCAGCAGTTTAACCTGCTGCACCATCAGGGGCCAATTGTGTATGGGCTCACTTTTCTAGGTGTCATTTGCTCATTCTGATGACAAGAATAAACTTGGCCCAATCATTCAGGGAGCCAAGGCAGATATTTATTTATCATGTCATCAGCAACCATACCATTGTATTACAATTCTAACAGAGCAAAACAAACACAGAGATTAAAAAGAAAAAGAAAAAAAAACACAGTTTTTGCAAATTTGGTAGTTGGTTAAATGTCCTTTGACCAGTATCTGGCCACTTGGAGTGCCTCTGGTGTTGCCGCAAGAAGGTCCTCCATTGTGCATGTGGCAGGGCTCAAGGTGCATTGCAGCAGGTGGTCAGTGGTTTGCTCTTCTCCGCACTCGCATGCCGAGGATTCCACCTTGTAGCCCCATTTCTTAAGATTGGCTCTGCATCTCGTGGTGCCAGAGCGCAGTCTGTTCAGCGCCTTCCAAGCCGCCCAGTCTTCTGTGTGCCCAGGGGGGAGTCTCTCATCTGGTATCACCCATGGATTGAGGTGCTGGGTTTGGGCCTGCCACTTTTGGACTCTCGCTTGCTGGGTGTTCCAGCGAGTGTCTCTGTAGATCTAAGAAAACTATGTCTAGATTTAAGTCATTGATGTGCTGGCTGATACCCAAACAGGGGATGAGCT